AAGCTTTAAACAGCCAGAGGAAAGCTGCTGGAGAGACACAACCACCCCCAAGCCCCACACAGAGACTCCCAGAGTGGGATGGGAACAGCTCCAAGCCCTTCTCTGCTCAGCTCCCTTCATCCATCCTGCCAGAGGTTGACCCAGTGGTCCAGGTGCTTGCTGGGACATGAGGGCCCAAGGGCACCTGGCTCAGCTCCAGGGCAGGCCACAGCCAGCCCTGCCCAGCTCACCTGGCTATCCGAGATAGGATCTCCTTGATGCGAACCACCAGTTTCTCATGCTGCAGCGGGTTGCTCTCAATGGCACTGTGCAGTTTGGCCATGTAGAAATCCAGAGTGTTCAGTGTGGGGGTCTCCCCAGTGCCTACAAGGCAGCAGCCCAGTTAGCCATGTGCAGGGCCCACAAGGCAAGCAAAGCTCCCATCCAGCCCTGCACATGCTAGTGGTGGCTGGGGAAGAAACCCTGGACCTCTCTCCTTGCAGCAGGGTACAGATTGCACCGATAAAAACCCAGGAATGAAAGGATTTGGGCTAATCTGTCTTGCAGGTGGATCTGCGACTATGACTAGACACTAGGACAGTTCCCAACCTGTCCCATCCCGCCTATGGAGGATCTGGACAGCTGTCACATCCCTGGACTCTGGAAGAGCTCCCAAAATGCTCCAGGAGTCTTTCCCACAAGTGGATGAGCAGTTATCACTGCCCCATGTCCCCATAACATCCCTGTTTGCCCCAGGCTTAGCCATGGGCAGAGCCCCAGCAGTGTCCCTTAGTGTGATGTCACATCCCAGCAGCAGACTGGTCCACAGGACTGCCCTGGACTCACCAGGGATGGGAAGAGACGCGAAGCTGGTGGTGAGGGCCTGTCGCACAGATTGGAGCTGCTGCTGCAAGGCCAGGGTCTGCCGCTCCTCCTGGGCCAGCTCCTGCTCCAGCTTCTCCTTGGCACAGTTCATGCTCTCTGTGTGCTTCTGCAGGATGGCATTCTGCTCCTCAAACTCCGTATTCATCTTCCTCAGGCGCCGCAGCTCAGCTTCCCGTGCTGCCAGGGACAGAGCAGGGTCAGCACAGGCAGAGGGTGGCCCAGTGATTCTTCCCCCACCCCATCCCAAACTCAATCCCTTCCCCAGCCCTTGCTTTTCCAAGAGAGGCTCAACATCACCAACCCCCAGGCTCCAGCCAGGATCTGCTCCCTAAACCTCTCCTCACCAGGGACATTTCACAGCCTGAACGTAGCACCCTATGACAGCTGTGATCCTGTCATACAGGATGCAGGCTTCTCCGGCAACAACACTGCTTGCTACAGCCCTCCCTATGGGCCAGGGACCCCCATTAGAGATGCTGCACTATGGCAGCCCCCAGCAGTCCCTGCCCTGTGGCTCAGCCCCTCACCTTTATTCTGGTCCAAAAACTCCTCCGTGAAGATGGGGACATCAAAGGTGGAGAACGTGTCACTGCACTCACCAGCCTGGCAGATGGGAGGGGACAGATCAGGCAGGGCTGAACCACCCACTGAAGGGGACCCTATCTCCCTGGGGTTGATCACACAGGCAGCATGGGGACAGGGCAAGAGGTGACCCCTGGGGAGGCTGGGAGGACAGGGAGAGACAGAGCAGGGGATGGCTACGCTCTGCCTCCTGCAACTCCAGACTCCGCTTCGGCAGGAAGTTGCCATCTTGAAGCAATACCTGTGAGGCCCCATCAGCCCAAAGAAGTAGCCAGTCAGTCTCTGCTCACCTTCCCACACCCAAACCCAGGGGCTCAACATGCCTCAGTTTCCCAACTCAGTGGTAGAGCTGCCAGGGCCTTACCTTCTGTGGGTGCCCATTTAGCAAGGTGTTCACTGCTGCAGAGCCAGCATCCTCTGGAACGGAGAAGGAGATTACCTGCCTGGTTCTTCCTAGAGCCACCCCGCACCTCCTGAGAGGCTCTGGCAGCACCCAGCCAGATCCTGGGCAGACTAAGGGCAGCAACACCTGCAGCCACTGATCCCACCACCTACCTTTTTTGATCTTCTTCTCCTGGATCTTCTCCGTGCACATCTTGTAGGCCTCTGACTGCTGGTATTCCCGCAGCTCCTTCATGTACTGCTGCTTCTCCCGCTCTGCTTCATCCAGGTACCGCTACAGCCACAGACAGGTCCTTAGCCTAGCTCAGCCCCAGGCAGCGGGCTCCCCAGGATGCTGTTGAACCCTCCTACCACTCAGAGCTCATCTCCTGCTCACCAGCCCAGCAGTACCGGGACAAGCTCCTAAGAACCACCTTCATGGGATGCTTTCAGGGGCCAGATCCTGCCCACAGCAAAGATCTTGTCTGCCAGTGCACCAAGATCTGGTGATGGAGCTATTCCCAATTCATACTTGGAGCTACAGCCAGGCAGCAAGCAAACATGTCTCAGATTCTTCAGGTTCTTACGTGCCTCCAGAGAGCACTGCCAGCCCCATGAGGACAGAGGCTCAGCCTCCCATGCAGCCAGCATCTGTGGGTTGGCTGCTAGCCCAAGCAGGAG